GCGGAACTTCCGGCGATGATTACTCCCCACTCCGGCGACTTCGGCGGCAACTAACAACACCAGACTGCTCCCTTCACTCTTATGAACACAATGGTATAATTTTCCAGAAGATTGGTGCAGAATTGGTAAGGATGGAGTATCCTTATATAGAAGAAGAGAAGGGGAAGAGGACACTGGCTGACTCATTTCTGCGTATGAAAGTCGCGTAGTGGAGGAGGCTGCGTCGATCGGATATTTACACGATTCTTCCCTGATTGGGACTAATTTCGGTCCCAGTCGGGGTACTCTTTTTGGTCCAACTTTCTCCGAATTGAAATCCGTTTGCACCGTTGCGATCAGAAATTCGAACTCTATCCAACGATATAATTTTTATATTCATTCATTATACTTTTTCCGACACCACATTTTTGGGTGTTTGACTTTAACAGAGTAAAAATTGGTTTATTTGACCTTTATTCAAAAAGGTTCTCACATTTAATTCATATCATTTGTTCTCATGATTTATTTCAATAAATCATTTTAAAGTACATATTATAAATAATTTCTTTATTTATTCTTGATTTGGGTCTGTACTTATGTTCCCAATCAAGACCACACAAATACTCAACATATTGGATTTATCTCTATGAGACTTATCCTGATTTGTGATATTGGATGTCAAAATACATTTCATTTCGGCCCAGAGCCCAATAACTATTTATTTTAATCGAAACAAATTTGACTAATTGAATATTTATTCATTAAAAATTTTAGGGTATGTTTTGGGGCGTTACATTTGATATCCTAATAATATTACCTGATTTTTAAATAAAAAAGATCTTTTCTCACGATCCTAAAGCCAACTGCATCATTTTACTCGTTTTCAAATTAAATATCTACACGACATCCTTCACAACTTATACAAAATATCCAGTTGTATCATTTTTTTGGTACAGCCAACAATTGCAGCGATCGACGCATTGACGAAGTGGCAAAGCTGGTAATTGGAGTGATTGACGAAGTGACGAAGCCCTAGATGCGGATCCAACGCAACTATCTCCACCCTCCAATCTGTGGATGGAATAAGCAAGGTGAAGCGTTGAAGCGGGTGAACGTGGTAGCGGCGATGACAACACTGAACTGTAGCGGTGATGGATGTGGCATCGACAACATAACTATAGCCCACGGCTCCTTTGTAGGTGCAACTCGTGTGGCGAGGTGGTGGGCATTTTCAATTGCTGGTATTCTGAGGTGATAACATTTCGTTGCTTAGAAAAATACTATGTTGCTTCAGAATGAACATTACGTAATTTGAGAGTGAACATTGCATTGTTTAAAAATGAACACTATATTATTTCAGAATGAACACTACGTTGTTTGTAAATGAATATTATAATTGTAATGAACAAACATGTGTAAATGAACACCACGTTTTTTCACAATGAGCACTACATAGTTCAAAATGAACATCACGTTATTTCAAAATGAATATTCTTTCACTCCAAAATGAGTATTACACAGATGTACCATAGTTTCTGTATAGTTAGTCGTACAATATCTGCACGCACTATATACAATGCAACCAGTTGTACGTTTTTTCATACATTCGCGACAAGTACTCATTTATGAGTAACTGAATACTCATTTTTTAGTAATTGAATACTTATTTTTGAGTAACTGAACATTTATTTTTCTAAAATTCAATTATGCTCGAAAATAAGTCATATGTAACTCGAAACAAATATTTATACAAATGTACAGAAAACACCATATATACATATATAGCTATTTGAAAGTTAATTGTTTTTTTCAATATTGTTATCTTCCTTTTTTTTTTTTTTGTGAATAACCAAAGAGGGAATTCGGAGCCTCTGTCAAAGCTCAATACGAGGAACACTTATCTCTGAGTTTCTTTTCATTGGGGTGATCGCAGCTTCCATCTATGGCTGCTTCAACAGCCTTCTCCGGCGCCGTCGCTTTCAAGCTATCCTCCCGCCAACCCAATATTTCCCTTCTTCCCCATTTCTCTTCCGTCAATCTCTCTTCGTGCACCAGCATTCGCCCCTCCGAATCCCTGATTTCTCGCAGTACTCCCCCCAAGTCTCGCACCCCGGTCACTCCTCTCCGATCTGCTCCCCCTGCTGCCGCCGCCGCCTCAGCCACCACCTTCCACGGCCTCTGCTACGTCGTCGGCGACAACATCGACACTGACCAAATCATTCCCGCCGAGTACCTAACCCTAGTCCCATCGAAGCCGGAGGAGTACAAAAAGCTCGGGTCGTACGCCCTGTGCGGGCTTCCCGCATCCTACCCGACCCGATTCATAGATCCGGGCGAGTTCAAATCCAAGTACTCAATTGTAATCGGAGGCGATAATTTCGGCTGCGGGTCCTCCCGCGAACACGCCCCTGTAGCCCTAGGCGCCGCCGGAGTCGCGGCGGTGGTGGCCGATTCCTACGCCCGGATATTCTTCCGTAATTCCGTGTCTACGGGAGAGATTTATCCTCTGGAATGCGATGTGAGGATCTGCGAGGAGTGTAAAACGGGTGACACAGTGACTGTTGAGCTTGGTGAAAGCAAATTGATCAACCATACTCGTGGGAAGGAATACAAACTGAAACCCATTGGAGATGCTGGGCCTGTGATTGATGCGGGCGGGATTTTCGCTTACGCTAGGAAGACAGGGATGATTCCTTCGCGCTCTTAGAGAGCCCGAAACAGGTAAAAATCCATTCCTCAGTTTCAATGTGTTTCTTAAAGCACATTTTCAGTTTTTCACCATTTAGCAACTGTGTTTGATGATCAGATAGAACTCAATACGCATCGAAACAAAGAAGTCCTATTTGAATGACAGAACTTACTCTGCAATTTTCATGACATTTAATGGTTGTTATACTAAATTTTCATTGAGTGTGTTGGTTTAGTGAAACCAACAAATAAATGTTACTCCAGAATGTATACTCCTCTTCCCAAAATGAATTTTATCTTGATTACATAGAGCTAAATGAAATGTTGAAAAGTAAAGAGTGAGTTGTTGAAATTCACAAAGGGGAGCAATTTTGTAAGTTACATTTTCTTTTTCCTTACACTATGCTTGGTTCAAGGAATTTGAAAGGGAAAAGAAAAAAAAATGAGATGAAAAACATTTTTTATTGTTTGGTTAGAAAAAGTGAGTAGGAAAAAAGAACTAACCGGAGGGAAAACGAAATTCCTCCCATTGTGGCGAGGAAAATGAAAGAAAACCATTTTCTTTTCTTTTCTTTTCCTTCCTAATTCGTTGAACCAAGCATAGTGTTAATGGGAAATATGAGAAACTGTAAACTTTATGTTGGGGTGAGTGGAGTAGTTGTATTTGATGGCATCCCATTGTTGTACATTTGTACCTTACAAAAATTTAAGAATTGTACTTTGTGTAACATGACTCTTCTATAAGACGGATGGAATATGTATTCGTGGGATATAGTGGTCTGTGTTTACGACTAAATGGGAAGGTACTGTAAAGACGCGAGTTTGATTATAAATGTATGTTCATTGTGAGGTTTGATAGATAGGTAATGTATCTGCGGTTTGAGTGCCCGTGTAAATAAAAAGTGTACATGTGAAAGACAACTTGGTAGAGTTTGTTAGGCTCAAGCATTGGTTTGCTATTTTGTTAGCGCCAAATGATTTGAGCATTGGATATCGTGTGGTTCTATGCTTCTACGTGTATGTCAATATGTAAAGTTCTGGATTGATTTTGTCTTCTGAGAAAGTATGTGCTCAAAACATGACTTGTTAGAGTTCTAAATGCTCATTTTGTTAGAAATGCTTGTTTATAGTCCATGCTCTATACCAAAATCCTATCTACTTTCCCATTTCAAACTCCACAAACTCAAATACTCTCAAACTTTAACCTATCCAAATAACTTGTTTTTGAAGTTCAAAGATAGGAGTAAAAAAATCTTTTTGTATCGGACATTGTGGCAAACATAATGGCAAACTCTTGAGTAAGAGAGATCTGCTGCAACAACATTACCCTAGTGCCTCAACGGCCTCCTGCCCATTGTGGGGTAAGGGAGGGTCGGATGTACGACCCCTATATTTAAATCATGGAACGACTGTTTCTTGATGACCCATGATAAACGTCGAAAGTCGCATTGACTAACTGCTACTTCACAATTGCAAGAAGCACAGACAGTTAAAAGAACCAATTTGCTTTATTCCAATTTGCTGCATGCACACATAAATCTATCTTGCATGTGATGAAGGGGAGTATTAAAATGGTGAATGAATAATATACTCTTTGTATGGTTTTGCCCAATTTCAGGAAAAAACCCAGTTGGACGGTCACCTCAGAAAAGGTAAATTTGGCTTAATCACAGATTGGTGGTGGAGAGTTGAGCCTGCACATAGTACTAGTTCTGCCCAATTTCAGGAATTGTGATGTAGTGTTCTTTTCTTGCCCAATTCACCTTCAATGGATCTCTACATTGTATGCTGCATTAAAATCTTTTCTTGGCCGTGTTTCCTTTACTTGTTCAAGCTTCTGGTCAAGAGGCTAACTCTTCTGCTGATTTTTTTATTTTAGTACTACTATATGCCTGTTTGGTTTGTAATAAAAATAAAATATTTCAAAACTATGTTTCAAAATGAATTTATTGTTATTAATTTTTTTTATATATAAAATCAATGTATATTTTTTGTAATATGCAGTTAAAGTAAAAATTTTGACCAAGAAAATCAAATTAGGAAGTTAATTTTAGGACCATGCTACATTTACACCAAAAATTGTACCCCATTTGTACACCGCAATAATACACAAATATTTTGATGGTTTACACCGACACAAATGTTGGTGCGTTAAAAAATGTTACACAGACACAAAGTGTTGGTGCGTTAACAAAAATTAGTTTCACACCAACACAAAATGTTGGTGCAAAACTGCGGGGTACAAATTGGGGTACAAAATGTTGGGGTACAAGTAGCTTTGTCCTTAATTTTAAGACCAAGAAAATCAAATTAGGAAGCTACTACCGCGTGACGGTACCTACCACTACGAGATTCGTTTGGAGTGTTTTCAAAATGCTAATTTTGTGTTTAATTGCCCTTGCAAATCAAACTCCAACTTTCACCAAATCAAACTCCAAATTTTGCAATTAATTGTCCTTCCAAATCATTATTCAACTATAAATAAGATCATAAACTTTGATATTAACATTAATCCAAGCTCTAAAATTTCATATTTGATATTTTAAGTGTGTTCATCTTCTTGTTCTTAAATCTTCATGTTTTGGCTAGTTAGAGCCTTGGTTTTAATCTTGATTTTACATATACTTGAGCTTGTGATCATAGATATACATATACTCTCATATTCATTTGTTGAATTTGTATCTTTTCTTAAGAGTATATATTTGTATTCACTACCAAGGATCGATTGTTATCACTTTATCATAAGCCAAGAGGTTAAACTTTTTTTATGTTTTGTTCATACAGATTTCACCAAGTTGTAATGGTTGAGGATAGTCATCAAAAGCCTTGTGTAAGAGTTTGAAGATAGTCTTGAGAGGTAAAGTGTATATGATGGTTTTTATTTTAAATCAACAAAAAAAGGACTGCGAGTACATAATTTTCCATTAAATTGTATTCCCACCCATTCCAAAAGTAGTCTCACATAGAAAAACGTGTAAAATCTCAATGCTTCTATATACGATGCCGCCTACAAAAAATTTCTCTTAGAAAAATCATGGAGGCTACATATTTGACTAATATTCTGGATTGATACTCCATATAATTATAATAAATGTGCCACATATTTTATATTTATACGTACTTAACAACCTTAATCAGTTCGACTCTCTTTTAAGGATCTAGGAAAGAACCGTAGAATATGCAAAAACGAGCGTATAATCCTCCACCATAACATATATGCAAGCCAACAAAACTAAACAAACGTCAAAATGTAAAGAGGAAAAAATACAAAAAACATCTTGATTCACACATTCTAAAACATGGAAATTGCAGACAATTTCCTTTACAAAAAACTTTGACTCGACACCGTATTCGACCAAAACAACAACAAACTCCATAAAACTACACACAAAAAAGGATCCGGGAAGGATGTGCATGCACACACCTTACCTTTAGTTGGAAGTAGAAGACCCGTTTCCAAGAGACCACCGGCTCAAACACAAAATGCACAAAATATACACATTTGTGGGATTGACTGAAAACAGATAGATCATGTGATATATTAAGAGAGATGAATGGCCAAAGAGTTTGAAGAGTTAGTTGATAACCGGAAAAGGAGGCAATACGAGAACAGCTTCCTCGGCCTCAATCGGGTCTGACCTTGATATCTAAACAAACACAACACAAATGAGCTAAGTTTCGTATTTTTTTCCTTCGATGTTTTAGGAGAATCGCTGGAAAACTTACGGGGTCTTGTAGAAGGGGCTTGGTGTCGTCTTTTGCCGGTACGAAATAGGGTTTGTTGGACTGCTTCTTGGATCCCTGAACATATGAAATTATGAATTACTTGATATATAGGACAAAATGAAACAATTGTCATTGGATGAATCTTCGAATTAACGTACTGCTTTGCCTCCCTTACATGTTCACCAGCCAAAAGAAAACTATGTATATCTAGAGTGGTGTTCTTTTGACACCATTCATGGGTGTCATAATATCACATTGAGCCACTTGAGGACCTTAGGGTTCTCCATTCAAACCTGAAGCGGTTCCTACCCCCTAATCCCTCTACAAACCTTCCCAATCCTCGGGTTTTAGTTGTTATCGTAACCTAATTGTGAAATGGGTGGATGGGGGAGTGGGCGAGCCGGGGGTTAGGGGTATATGAACTAATTCGGAGTCAATTAAAGCATCATAGGCCCTCAAATGGCGCAGTGTCATATTATTACCCCGATCCTTAGCGTCAAAACTCAAAAGAACCCCACTCGTATTTCCATCATGCAAGATAACATATTATGGTCTGTCTTTTTAGTACTATTGACTCGATTACAATATAATATATGTTCATACTTTTCAAAGTGCTCCATATTTTTCGTTTAGGCAAAAGGTAATTCAAACTTCGTCACATTAACTTCACATTTCCCTTGCTTCTCTCATAAGCGACTTCACTCTTCCCTCACTTTCTTTTAATGAAAAGATTATATCCCTCGCGATATTTCTATTCCCTAAACAAACTCCTATCGCACATTTTTCACTCTCGGCTGCGTTTACAAAACCCCGATTAATCGAACGAGCGTCACATTAAACGAAACTCTCTACGCCACAATGTTTTCCCAAACTATTCCTCGAAACAGAATGTGCATTTACAGCATTCAATAGAATGTGTTTACCATTCTTGCTCTCCCTCCCTTTTCTTCACTAGCTTCGTCTTCTTCGAAACGTTTGTGAGCCTGCAGGGAAAAAGAGTTCATGAAACCCTAAAAAACCAGCTAAAATCAAGGCAACAAAATCTTAGGAGCACAGAGAGAAAGATCGGACCTCCATTAAAAACCAGGCGAAGGAAGCTCTAGGGTTTATAGAAGTTATCTGGAAAAGAATAAAATAAAAGTATGAATTTAAATTGCCATAGATCAATAGATCGATCAAAGATCTGAGAGTTTCAGAGGTTTACGCTGAAGATGAATATGGAAGAACGGCGGAATTGCAGAATCTAATGTGGCCGGGAATGAAAAATGAAGGGCAAAAGTGCACCCATTTGTTCCCCACCACAAAAAAGCAAAAAATAAATAAATAAATAAATAAAAATAAAAAAAATTGAATGGTGGAGAAAGGGGTGGGAGACAAATGGGGTACACCAAATATGGTGTACCCCTAGCATTCCTCGGCCGGGAATTATATAAAGAGCAATGCTAGGGGTACACCTTACCAAAGGTGTACCCCATTTGTCCCCCACTCCCTTCTCCACCACTCATTTTTATCTACTTTTTATTTATTTAATTTTTTTTTATAATTTTTGCCCATTTTTGTGGTAATGGAAGGGGTGAGGGACAAATGGAGTACACCTTTTGTGGTAAAATTTTTCCCAATTATAAAACCCGTTTCTTGTCCGGGTTCTGACTCATGCGGTCAACTACAATTAGAAACTAAAATAGGATTAAGCTATTTGTACCCCAACATTTGTACTCCAATTTTTACTCCGCAGGTTTGCACCAACATTTTGTATCCGTGTAAAACTATTTTTTGTTAACGCACCAACACTTGTGTCGATGTAAACCATCAAAATGTTTGTGCATAACTGTGGTGTAAAAATGGTGTACATTTTTTGGTGTAAGTGTAGCATGTTCCATTAAAAGAATACCCGAAGTAATATTTTATATGATATTATTAGAAATTTTTACTTTAAAAGAGTATTTATAATTAATATTTTGTTAACTTCTCCATCTAGCTTTCAGTATCATTATGTATATAATATTTTTACACTTTTTAATTCTATTTTTTTATTATTAAAAATTAAGATGAGTGAAAAATTTATTAAAAATTCTATTTTTTAGATTTCAAAAAGTTATTGGATTTGAAAAATCTGTAGAATCCATGTAGAGTTTGAAAATTTCGTTAAATCCATGTAGAGTTTAAAAATATCTAAAATCCAAACATCACTTCTGTTCGGAAGTCCAACGGTGATGCCGTACAACCACAGTAGGAAATGCACAACGCCGGTGGAGGACGGGGCGACGCACGTGGACGGGCGGACGAAAAAGTCGCGAATGGACAGAGGAGCGGACGGACGCTGGAGGACGGACGGATAGACACCGGAGGACAGATGGATGGACGGACACTAGATGACAAATGAATGAAAGTCCATAGAAATCTAGGGTTATGAAAAGAGATTTCCATGAGTCAAAATGTAAGCATTTTTTGAGGGAAAATCGAAAAAAATCATTGACTCTTGAATACCTCAAAATTTTTAAAGACTTTTGAAAAAATTCAAGTTGATACTTCAATATTTTTAAAGACTTTGGAAAATCACTATTAAATACCTTAAGATTTTTAAAGACTTTTGAGAATCCAAATTAGATACACTCAAATTTTAAAAACCCAAAAAAATCATACACACTCCCGATTTAATACACCCCCTTAATGTCTAACAAATATTTAAACGATTAGGCAATAAGAAAACCTCTCAAATAGGAGTAAAACATATACCATATCTTTAAGATAGGAGCATAAACTTAAACTCTTCTAAATACGAGTAACTAATTAAGCAGTAGTGGCGGAGCTACATCGGAGCAAGTGACTGCAATTGCAGTCACTCACCTTTCTATGTTAGTGTATATATATACGAGTATATACTCAGTGCCATTATATTTCACCGCATGAGAACCAAACGCCCAACTCTTTACTTCTGCCTTTGGCAATTGCACTGCTGGGATTTGGGATGCTAAAGAATTGAAGCAGGTTCTTTTCTTTATTTCTTTTTCTTATTTGTTGACATGTGATAAAATAATTAAATTTAATTGCTAAATTCAATGAATTGAAACTGCAAAATTATGCTTTAAAGTTGGGGATGTGTATAAATTTATTGTTTTGCACCAAATTAAGTTTTAAAAAAAGTGTATATATTGGGTGCATAGGCTTCCGCCATCATCTCTGTGAATTTTTCAGTCTTTTTTATTAAAAAGGAACGTTTAACCATTATCAAT